TTGGTTCTTCCCTCTGTTCTGTTCTAATTTCTTTCATCCCTTTGCCTTGTATACTTCCTACTGCCTATGGTCCCTCTAGCCCACCACATATGTTGCAGTATAAACTTTTAAAAAAAGAGTATATTTCTAAGAAAAGTGATCAAGAATAAAGCAAAATTTGGTATAAATAGACACAGGTCACTGACACTATGCTCAATTTCCAAATCTGTTCTTTTGAAATCAGTTTTTAAGGACCATGGAGAAACGGCAACGAACCACTTACCATTTTCTTCCACTTCATCCTACGGTTCTGGTACCACGTCTTCACCTGGAGCTGAGTCAGCCCCAACGACTGGGCTAAGTCAAGCCTGGGAGACAAGACAGACATTCAAATGAGTTCACGGAGGAGGAGAAGAGCTCAGATGCCAGGTGCAGCCAGTCCAACACTGTGAGAGCATACAACAGTGGGACCACCAGAAAAGATGGCTATTTGTCTCTCTAATCTGTTGTTTTGAGAAAAGGTCAGACAAAAGTGGTAAACCACTGTGAATTTAGGATGTAAAGATAGATGCTCTTATGGAAAAAGCAAGAATCTTTAGGTGTTTGCAGGCTATCTGTTCTCTTTTCTCCTCTGTGACCGCTGGACAAATGAACAAGCCTAGAAGTTGCGGAAGTTTGCCTGCCCTCTTTGAAACACAAGCCTGCTGTACTCCAACTGCTGACACTCCATGTTCGTATATGAAGCAGGGAGCTACTGGTACACTGCATCCCTGAAAAACACGTCTGCGGTGTCTGAAGCAAACATGTAAGAACCAAGACACCCGGCATCAGTCTGCCTTTGAAAGTGCTGCTCTTTGTATCGTATTTCTTCCTCACTACCTACATAATGGGGATAATAATACTTTCTCATTTCTCACGGAGTAGTAGCACATCTAAATCTATTAATTTCTTATGCATTCTACTATTATAGGCAATTGAGGCTTATAAATGAATTTATTATTTGCGTGTTTAGCTTAAGGGTATATGTGGCAGACAGCCCATAATCCTGATTCATCCTCCACAAATCTCCAACCTGTGCAAGTTCCTCTGAAACCATTCATTATTTCTGTATTAAAACCCAGGATATGAAGCAAATGCAGCTCAGAGTAACTCTTTATCCTTCCCCACAGGTGACAGCACCATGCATCTGGCAGTGTTGTAATGGAGTTGCACAACGGACAGAGTTGGAAACCCTCAACAACGCTGGGCAAGTGCCCCACAGAGTCACACAAGTCCTGCAGGTGGGACAGCCCAAACTCAGAGTCACATTCCAAGGTGTTCTGGATTGTGTGAACTTTTTGGAAGATATTTCCTCGCCGTTGGATGGGGAAACACGTTTGTCAAGGCCAAGTTTTTCATAATAAAACTTTTGTTTCAGCTGGGCTCCTAGGGCAGTCAGACTCACTCTTACATTTACAAATGACTACATACCCCACACCAGCTCTCTGTGCTCAAACGCACACTCATGGATTCATGTTTTTCCCCCACTTCGGATTCACTCTAGACCTACAGGCTTGGTTTGCCTGCTGCCTACGCTACTGCATAACGTCTGCGAGATATCCCATTGACTTAAAGATACTAATCACTGTTATTTGAGAAGCAGCATCTAGCAGAGGCATTATGCTGTTGTACTGCACTCCCTTACTAGTAATAAACCAAGTGCTTCAGTTGCCCTCCAAGCAGCACAATCTTGTGTCCAGGCCAAAAGCTGCAGGAGTGAACGCAGATCGCAACCCACTGCTTCGCCATCACACTTCCAGCCATGAGCTGACAGAGAGAAACACTGCTTGACTAACTCTTGCCTTAGTGCACATGTCTTATCACACTTTGATTACCTGCAACCAGTTACCATCTCTGGCCACGCACATCAGCATAACCAGCACTGCCTAGAAACCTGAGGAAACAAACAGAGGGGAAGTGGTACACGGACAGGAATTGCTCATCAGCCTCAAACATGTACAAAGCCAAGGAACAGTCATACCACAAAATTAACAGCCTCAAGTGCTTCATCAACTGTGTCAACCATCTGTTTATGTGAAGCTGTGAGGAGTCAGTACAGGAGCATTAGGAACTCTGAAACTGCATGAGACAGCCTGGCCGTGCCCATGAAATCTGGTATAGCTGCGATCCTTGGCTTTGGTGACGGGCAGTATGAGCAAAGAATGCCAATCTTCAAAACCAACTTAAATATTGGGACACTGCCATCTGTGGAGTTCAAGGTGGTGTACCTTTCAAACCCTCTCTAAGTTTACAGACTTAATAGGAATTGGACAGGTCTTTTTCCTGTAATTTAAATTTGCAAAGTAGGATTCAAAGCCTTTAAAAAACATAAAACCTCTCCTTAGTTTAGTTTATCCATTTGGCACCATATTGTCCCTAAGAACTTGCCTTTTCCTTCACAAAGACAAGGTACTCACCTGTGCCTTCACAAGGACAAGGTAGCCTTCAACCCTATGTACCCCTCTGTTTTCAAGCTGATGGACAGGCCACCGCCTTCTCACTGAATTGCTACCCAAGTTTGCTAGATGAAAGCTCGTTCAGCAGCCAGTTGAAGCTACAGCCAACCTCTCAGCTGCCACGGAGACACAGCCATCCACCACCAGATCCCAGGAGGGGACAGGCTCCACGTTTTTTCAAGTGTGCAGCAGGGATGGGGAAGAC